AAGTGTCGTTAGACCCTGTGAAATTTATCTAGCTATTTAAACTATTACCGAGGGGGAAACCACCTTAGAATTAGGTGTACAAATCAGTGGTATTATTGAAATTATTTTTAGAATTTTGGAATTATTTAGAAATTAATCGGTATTATTAGAATTAATTTAGAATTAATCCATATTATTAGAATTAATTTAGTATTATTGTAGAAATATTGGAAGTAGCTTAGAATTGAAACGAATATTGAATCATTTCACATCTAAACAGATTCATTATAGGATTCATGCTAGTTGTACTATTGATGAGTGGACGAACCCGCCCTGTTATAAGCGGGAAGAGACTTATAAGAGCGGTAAAACAATGCCGAAAACAGCCTAAAGTTCCCATCAATATTTAATAATAATATTTTAAGTAATCTCAGCCAAGAAATGATTTTTCCACGGGAAGAAAAAACGGCCATAAATTCCTCTAGAAAAGTAGTAAACTGGAAAAAATATAAATGTTTATGAAAACATATAGGTTGTGTTTTAATAGACTGTAATGAGGAATGAAATTTTCTTTCTTCGTTTTAAAATAAAGATTTTTAATTTTTAATTAACGTCTTACAAGGAGTGACTTTTATAGTAATAATAATATTGACAAGACAAAAAACAAAACTCAACTGTTTTTTTTACGTTTCTAACGTTTCTTATTTTATATATGTGCCCGCACATTCGTTCCAATTCTTAACACCTTCCCCCGCGTTGAAATGAAATCTTCAAAAAGAGAACAACAATAAATATAAATAAAATATGTTAGAGATTCCTTCCATAAAAAAAGGGACAGCTTATAATCTGAGAGAATTTTTAATTAACTAAAGTACACCCCGTATAAAATAAATGTTCACATATCAGGTGTTTCTATTACACAGGCATTTCTAAAACACATGGTAGATATTGATATTCATTCTAAAAAAGAAATAAATAAAAACTGCCTCAATTCACTAGTGAGAAAAATAATTTGCGGATTCCTGAAAATACCTACATATTAACTTAGCAGACTCCAAATTTAATATTCCAACGAAAATAGATGTACTATTAGGATGAGATGTTTATTATGACATTATTCTCCCAGGTGTAATTCACTTAGGAAGCAAAATGCCTACTTTGCAGAATACTCATTTTAGTTCGTAACCCAACCGGCTGATGCAGATGCAGATCCGGCTCGAAGGACCACTTATATGTTTATGAAAATATATAGGTTGTGTTTTAGTGGACTGTAGGGGGGAATGAAATTTTATTTTTTCGTTTTAAAATAAAGATTTTTAATTTTTCGTCTTACAAGGAGTTACTTTTAATCATTATAATAATGACAAAAAAAGACAAGCATATCAAGCATATCGAAATTGTGGTAATGAATACCTACAAAAGTTTGGGATTTATTGTTCGAAACATGTGCAATTTCATGAAAATTAATACTTTTTGCTTGTTATTTAATACATGTTAGATCTAAACTTGAATATGCCTCTGTAGTCCGGACACCTATCTACGCTACACACATAATATATATTGAGAATATTCAACGCCGATTCTTTAACTCAGCTACATTTTTTATTGATGGCCAGTATCCTCCTCAAGGATTTCCTCAGGAAGCATTTTTCAAGCGTTTCAGTAGGAGTAGCTTGTCTCAAAGACGCAAGTTAAATTCAGTTATTTTCTTATACAAGATCTTGAATAATAACATTATATGTGAAGATATATTACAAATGATCAATTTCCATATTCCTAGAACTTACACCCGACATTTACACCTCTTCGCGATCAAGCATCATCGTACTAATTTATATAAAGCGTCTCCGGTTCATCAAATGATTATTGGTTATTCTAATATTGAATCTCGCATAGATATACTCTGCTCCAGTATTACTCAAATTAAAAAAGTGTTCCTTTGAATTTTATGTTTGTATAAGTATGTTTTAGCATTTGTCTGTATTGTATTATAGCGTTTTAATATTATCTGTCTGTTCCCTGTTTGTTTTAGATATTATGTTTTGTGGTATTTATTTTATTTTAAGAATAGTTTTTATCTCTTTCACCTAATTTTATTACTTTTTTTTAGTTTGTAACTTTATCCTGTAACTGGGCATTGCCCGTTGGATATTGTAATTAAAATAAAAAAAATAAAAAAATAAAGCAGAAAAAACAAAACTTTCAACTGTCTTTTACGTTTCTAACGTTTCTTATTTTATATCTGTGCTCGCACACTCGTTCCAATTCTCAACAATAGATATCGAGAGTACCTATAATCAACAAGGCTTTAAATGAAGTATTGATAGATGTACAAACTTAGGTCTAGAATATGAAACAAGTCTTACTATAGATTTGCCTGTAACAAAAAATATTGAAAAACATGAACAATCCCTACTCGAAAATGAAGACATCGATCGTGAAATTACTTACGGTTATTTCCTTTGACATTATCAAAATTTGCTGGCATAAAATATGCGTTTAAAGTAAAAAATCGTTAAAAAAATTAAAATACATCCTTATTGAAATAACAAATAACTATTTTTATAACTAACATTTATAACAACATAAGGAGAATACCTAAAAACGAAATAACATTAACATACCTACCAATTTTATAAATTTTCCACATGTCCATAATTAAAAAATCATAATACATATTGCAAATAAAAAATATATATAGGTACCTATTTAAGTCACAAAAAAATTTACAAATAATGACAGTTTACATTAAGTGAACTGGACTGAAATAAAATGTATAATGATACACAGTTTTTATTCTCCACATGTCAAAAGAAATGTTAATCCGTATAAAAAAAATTGTACTTAACAAATGATTATTTTTGTGGTATTATTTAGAATTAATGGAATTATTTTGGTATTAATTAGAATTATTAGAACTATTTAAGTATTATTTAGAAATACTAGAATTATTTTAGTATTATTTAGAATTATTAAAATTAAATTAGAATTATTTAGTATTGTCGGAAGTATTGTGGAATTACAATGGAAAATATGAAAAATTAATTCCATTTGAAGAATTGGTGTACAAATTTTTGGGGGGTGGTTTTCCCCTCGACTATTACTACCACGCATTAAAATAAAAATTATTAGAGATTTATTCCCGTATCCATACCTAGTTATTTATAGGCTTCTCAAGTGCTCAAAATTCAAACAAATTCCGATTTAATTTTTTTCAGAATATTCATACAAATACATCTGACATGCTCTTTCACAGTTGCGGTTACAGATATAAGAAATTGCGATAATATTACGCTGATCTTCATTTTCAACCTTCGGCCAAAACGAAAATGTTTTTGAACATTTACTGAAATTTTTTAAAGAAGAATATTCAGTTGGTGTTTTGGTTGTTCATATGCATTTTTAAGAATTAATTTGTCATAATAAAATTAAAATTGTAATAATGTTTTAATTCTGACGCAACAACTTATTGAGTTATGTATGACCAAGTGATGGTAATAGTTAATAATAATAAATGTTTTATTGTAACATGCGGTGGTAATAGTTTAAATAACTATATGAATTTCTCAGGGTCTAACGACACTTACAGTGTGCGATAATTCAATAAACAAAGAAATCTAAATAAAAAATTTAGATAAATTTGGAACGAATACACTGAAAATGAATTTTTCGATACAAAACGTCTTAATCTGGTTCGGGCTGAGGCAGTACAGTATTGGAGGTCATGAAGGCTTGCAAAAAATGTAATAAAATTTTTAGGGTCGTATTTAAAAAAATGAAGTTGATGATGGTCCTGGAGAGACGAAACGTTACATATAAAAATTGATTATGCCAATCGATAAAGGGCAAAAACTGGCCATGAGAAAGTGTTCTTCTTTTTTCAATATCACCGCAAACAAGACTGAAATGAAACAAAAACAGATTTCCAAAATTTCGATTTTTTTCCAAATATTTCGAAAACTAATCATGTTAGCCTTGATTTTTTAGAGGCATTATGTTGGTCCCCTGATTACGCAACTTTGCCCCCATTTAAGCTACTTTGTACCTCTTACCGTTTCCGAGATCCCTGTAGTGAGAAACGAATTTGTAACAGCCTGTATATAGTATTAACTGTTAGATAAAAAAAATCGCTAATACCTATATATTTTTTTAAAACCTCGCCTCTTTTTTAATTGTACAACCGGACTCATATAATTCAAATTTAGTTCTATCAGAATTGCTTTGCACTTTGCAGGCAATTATTTAGTGCTAAAATGTGAGAACATTGCGATTTCAAATAAGAGGTATACGGACGATTCCATGAAAAGCGTATACCTAATTTTATGTTTAATTAAATTGAAAAAAACCTGTTATATTACAATTTAATTGTTTTTCACTCGTTTCTACAACAATAATTGCATTCCATTCGAAGAGTAGCTTCTTTATTGTCGCATTCACAATGAAAATTACATTTGTCGTGTGAAACGTATCGTAAAAAGTTACTGAAAATATTGAAATATGCATAAATCTAGGACTGCTACAAAAATATGATCAACAAAGCTAAAATGGAAGGAAAGGAGCCATTAATTTGAATTTCGATAACGGCGTTTTATCAATCATGGGCAAAGGAAGGACTGATAACAGAAACATAAAAGTGTTCTATTTGACACAGTTCACTTTATCTATTTCCAAAGTTAAATATGCACTAAATTTCATCACACAAATGAAAGCTTGTTCTTTATCAGTAACTTGAAATAACAAAATAAAAACAGAAAAACCCACACTACCGAAACTAGAAAAATTACGATAGCAAATACTACCACAAGTACAACCTTATTTTTATCAATAAAATAGGTTTTTAAACCCAAAAAATACCTAATGTAATGGATAGGTTCTCAATGAAATTAATAATACTCTGAATAATCTGAAACTTCTACTTATATTAAATATTTCTAAAAAAATATAAGCCCTTCTAAAAATCTCACTTGCATATCCAGCTTATTACAGAGATAAATAGTAGGTATTATTGAAAGAGTACTTACTTCTTTTTTCCAGACGCCACCGACGGTTCAACCACTAAAGGGGATCCGTTAAAATTAAACCCTGAAATAAAAAAAAATAGGTCAATAGAATTTTCATCAAGAGTATACAAGACATGATGAAAACAAAAACCTTTAAGACCATCATAAAGACTTATACTACTGTTTGTTAACACAATCCCCTTGAATAAATATTCAACAACAAATTTCTATAAATAAATCTTGAAAAAATTTTTACAAAATGGGTCTTCAAAATATAAATTTAACAGAATAGAATTTATTAAAATAATATAATAGTTAGATCAAAAAGTCACGATAAAGAAGTGTCCTCATTTTATAATGAACTAGCTATATATTTTTAACGGTTCCGCTTGTACCGATTTATTTATTTTCTTGAGGCTTCAACAGGTGGCACAAAATATGTTCACGGCCAACTATAAATTTATTATGTCGGAACTAAGCTCCAAAGCGTTTGAGACAGAAAGTAGATGATGCTCATTAAATTTGACCAATCTTTATTTATATATACAGTGCTTTCTTGAACTTAATTTGCAGATAAGTACGCACCCTTATAACAGAAGTCGAAACATTCCAATATTTTTAAAAGTTTTCAAACAAGAAAGTACCTAACACGTCAGTTGTATGTAAATAAAATGAAGACGTGGTTTATTCATTTACGGCTCATCAATTCTGTTTCAAGCAGAAATTATTGTACAATGTCATTAAAATACAAACGCAATATTTCTTCTTTAGATAGAAGCAAAACCTTCATAAAAAATTCACTATTCAGAACGAACTTTTGACATTTTCTTTGGTGTCAGCCTAAAATGTCAAAAAATAATGTCTTAACGTTCAGATAGAATACAATTAGAATTAAATAATTTAGAGAAATGTGTTTTGAAAATATTAAAACACTAACAAGACGTTTCCCTTCTTTCAGAATCTTAGTTGGGTTTCGTTTTGTGAAGGAGCCTATTTAGTTTTAAATAAATTTAAAGCAGGTACCTATGTGTATAGAAAACCATTAGTTGTTGATCTAAAAAATGCAGGTAGGAGGCTAAAAACGGCCATGACCAATCCCCACCTCGAGAAACCGGCTTCGAATGAATACGCCGGCCGGTATCTTAAATTTGACGTTAGTGCTAGACTACCTGTGGATAACCTCAAATGAGTAATTATAAATAGCACCCTTTTCCGACAATCTCGTTAGCTTATCACCGGAATTGGCTGTTAATAAATTAATACGCGGCTAAAATTGATATCCAGACTTTAGTTTAAAATATCTTATTTCTGTAAACATTATAGATACCCAGACAGTTATAACAATTTATATGGAATTAAAAGTGACAGCTGATTAGGGAATGTAATATTTGAAATATTTATCAAATGTTAAATTTCATGTACGTACCATTTAATTTATCAATAGCCCTATCAGCAGACGACTGATCTGGACAGTCAACGAAGGCATAACCTCCACGTTTTACTAAAATACTTGTACAAGACAAGTTCTGTTCCAGAAACAGTTGCCGAAGAGCATTTTCACTGGTTTCAGTTGGTAAATTGCCCACATATAACTTGCTCATGGTAATTGGAGGTATTTTTGCTGTTGTCGTCATGTGGACAGAACACTAATTATAATTAAACACTAATTAACAACAAACTTCACCAACTTCTTGAAGAACACGTCCTCAGCGCGTACAACAAACTTTTCTGACATGCGCACTCTTCGCGGATGCACCGCGAAGATTGAATAACGGGGTGCGTGATTGGGCTAGAAACTACACGTGATCATCATAGTTTACTCGGTTTATTCATTGGACAAGTATTTTTTAAAAATGTTATGACTTAATTTGACAATTTATTTCAATATACCTACCAACTGCACGTAGAAAAAGTGTTTTTATCCATAAAATTTCTTTCGTGGCTTAAAAACGATACTAGTGGGTATATAAGTCATGCATTTTTTTATAATTCTGTAAATATATTGCAGCAAATATTAACAATAATTATATATTCGGATTAGTAATAATACATGATTGTTTTTAATTGCAATAACAAGAAATAATATCAACAAAGTAAATCAATGCTAGCAAAATATTTACTTTTATGTACTATTTAGACAACTATTGTCAACGGCGCCGTGGCTTAGTTGGTTAAAGCGCCTGTCTAGTAAACAGGAGATCGAGGGTTCGAATCCCTCCGGGGCCTCGTGGACGAATGCTCTTTTTCTTCTTTTTTTATAATCTTATATTAGTTATTTACCAAATTGTGATTAATTTTTGTTACGTCTTTAATCTAGTGGGACTTTTTGATGGGTAGGTCATCATTAGGCAACTACTGATGTCTTACGAACGCCTGGCCTATTCTGTCTTTGTATGTGGTAAAATATTCAGAAAAACATGTTAAAAAAATTTAAACTTATGCGAAATAGAACTTGTTTTTACTGTACAAAACCTTAACAATCGAATTATATGCTTTCTCGTTACATAGCCAACTATTCCAACTGATTTCATGACATCCTAGATGAGCAGCACAAAATTTTATTTTACATATTTCTTTTAAAGACGTGTGGAAAATAACCAACAGATATTTTTTCTTCAAGTTTGGTGCACAACTATTTTGGAGAAAGTAGAACAATTGTGTGTTATTTATTTCAATAAAAAAACTATAACACGTTTTTCTAGTTACCCATAAAAAATATTTTCACTTAATTAGCTGCATCCGGAAAGCCCAGAAACAAAATGGATTCACTTGTCTAGACACTATTGTTAAAATAACATTACTGACAACCATTTGCAGAAACTGTATACAGATGAATAATACATTCTTCTCAAAATATCAGTTTCTGGAAATTTTGAGAAAAAATAATTCAAAATTTATAGTGAAATAGTTTCATATTTTTTAAAATAATTTTGTAACATGATAGTTTTTCCAAAAAGATGAGAGATCGTATTATTTATAATAAAAATAGGTATACAGTGTGTTACAATTTAAAGCATACAAACCAACGTAACAAGTAAAAAACAAGTAAAACATGTCCGATCTAGCACAGTAAATAATGCATTGAATAAACGCAGATGTTATTACTCATATTTGACCCTATACGGTCCTGCCCGTTTCTCGAAAATTAAATTGTGGGCAATGGCAACCCTTTATGATTATAGAGCACTTATATGTAGAGAGGACGAAAGCGAGAAGAGGACACTTAACCAACCACTACTTAACTAGACAAGTTTCTAACATGTCGAATCCGATTCAGGCCCAATAATTCACGATGTTTTTAATTAGTTTAAACTCGAGTTGGCAGCGGCACATTTGACATCTGAAGTTTGTGATAGGCTGGCCTGATTTCTTCTATAAATCGTTTGTCTTTGTTTCGTCATTGGTCGTGGATCGTTTGCAGTAATAATTCCAACTATAGGGGAATTTTCCATAGCCCAGAGAATTTAATAGTAAGATTGAAAACAAAATAGGAATAGAACTAGGCTAACAATTTTTTAGTTCACCTAAGGATGTCACAATATACATGGTGAATATAAAAGGCCTACATATATCTATGTATTTATAGTTTACTGCTAGTACTTAAAGTTAAATGAATAATCAAAGAAACTGAAATATTTTACTTGCTCTTGTGTTCTTGTCCTTACCAGTAAACCATGTACAAAAATATTGAGCTTTTACTGAGATATGGACATACGTATATCAAAATATATGTACCTAAGCATTTTCTTTCTTGATATCTGTAACAAATGTTTACCAATCGTACTAGTTCTAGTAGTACTAGTCTACTACTGCTCCCTGGTTTTCACCATATTTACCAACCTCGTTCATTTGGAATGTTTCTTTCATCCTCGTACTAATCTACGTATTAAATTTTTGCCGCATGGGCACATTCATTGCACAGAAAATACTTTTTTATCATATTTATCATTTCACTATTCTCTTAATCTTGAATACTCAGAATTCAATAAAAATGTACGCTTAAAGATTCTTAATAGAAAGACACCAAATGCGTTAAAGTTGTGTCGCGTGTTTCGTTCAAGAAATATTGATTGCAGAGTTCGGGTATACACGAATATTGTCAGAATCGGACTCACTTTCCTGATACAAATATGAAAATAGTAACGCTATATAAAAGTTAAGAAATTACGTAAAATTGAAAACATTTATAAAGTTTAGTATCATATTGACTGTATGAAAAATACATCACTACGTAGTTGAAGAAATTCAACGTAAAAATATTGTAATTTTGCCTAAAATGTCGTGTACATCGCAATAAAATTAGTATAAATAAAAAGTTACTTAAAAGTTACATTATGTCCAGGTGCATTTTGAAGAGGAACACAAAATATATTCATGAGCGTAGCTAGGGGGCGCAGGGGTGTGAAAAAAGATTTAATATTATCAACTTTGTCAAATCGGCATCAAGTCGGTGAATGCGTGCTTTTTTTAAAATCAAATGAAAACGTGGTTTGTTCAAATATGGGAAATTCGCTACTTGCGAGAGCTTTTTTATAGATTGGGGGTTCTCAAAGTTGAGCCATTTACTTTAAGAGTTGTCAAATAAAACAATTATTAACAGTTATTTAAAAAAATTGAAATTTAAAAACTTTATAATACAAACCTGATTTATTGTCATTTTCGACCATTGCGTTATAAAATCATAAATTGTTTATTTACCAACATGGACCTAGTGCTCGTTGTTGGATCGTTTCCGACAATTTTTAAAATTTCTTCCTCGATCTCCACCATTTCGCCTGGAGGAGGTCCTCCTCGTTGTTCCTTTAAATACCCTGTGTCGCGGATTCTTATAACTAAATTTAGAAACTTCCTCTGAGCCGGATGATTTCGTAAAGGAAACCTTTTTGCGTACAAGCGACATGCTGCGGCTGCATTTTGTTGACACTCCCCGTAAGTTAATATTATGTCCACTAGTTCATTGTTTTCACAAACATGTGCCATTTTTATTGTACGGAACACCCACAAATCAAAAATAATGTCACGCGCTACTGTACTAATTGACTTGAATTCATTATTCACTTAATTATTAAATATTAAGCATCGTCCATTGACCCATCAGTGTTAAAAAGTGAAAGATTCCACGCAAAAGTTTTTATTTTGTAATTCCACGATAGTGACAGTGTAATTTTTATAAAGAAGTAAAAAATAAGAAGAATAGCGTGCCGATTATATTAAAAACGAGATTTTTATTTCTTACTTTGCTTAATTTTTTAGTTTGTGCACAAATTAGTTTTACAATAAATCGAGAAAACAATGCATTTACTATTTCCGAACTTGTCGATATGGTGTTAGTGTATGGTGCAGCCAGAGAAAGTGCGCTCGCGGCGACTAGGTTGTACCGGGAACGATGGCCACAACGTCACCCCTCATGTGCAGATACAATCCTACAATGCTTCAGCGGCTGCGAGATACGGGAAGTGTTATTCCTCGAGGAGAAAGACATGATCAGCAAGTGGACCTTAATATTGAAGATGCACTGTTGGAAAATCTTGAAGAAAGACCACACAATTAGTACTCGACTACTCGCACAGCGAGTAGGAGCCTCATCTCGTACCGTACATCGCTTCTTAAATCATCTGCAACCAGTTCAACAGATTTTACCCCCGAATGCGTTTTTGCAGATGGTTTTTACGGCAATGTGCCAATCAAGTTGACTGGGTGCGTCGGTGTCATATCTGTATCCGCGCTAATGGTTATCAATTTCAACATTTTCTCTAGAAATGGTAAGTTTTATTTAATTTTGTTCCATATTTTAATTGAATTTGTTGGTATTGGCAACTACAGATGCTTACGGATGTGATTTTATTTGCGAAATCTTGCAGTAACAACAATGCATTTAAGATAGTAATTACTACTAATTATTATGAAAAGAAAATATCAGTTTTTTTTAATATCTATTTTTCTTAGTTTGTACTTTTGCAATGAGAAATTCCCCAAAAATTGAGAAGTATCTTTCTATCTTTCAACGACGATTTGTTTACGCGGCTGGTGTACAACACGTAACTCATCGTACAGCACACGGACAGGACCAGGACTGTTACAAGCTGTTAAAATAAATGACTTCATCTCATATTCTTCTTTATGCTAATCCATAACTAGTTTGTGGCAACAAAGCAAATAAAGAATTATTATTATTATTATTTGAGAACACCCTGTATAGAGCTTGAAGCCCTGGGCCCACCCTAAGCATGCCCATGAATATCTTGTAAACAAGATAATGTAAAATAGGTCTTAAATAGTAAGCTACAATCCGGATATCTGTGCTTAAAGGTTAGGCAAAGTTCAGGATAGTTATTATTGATGTTTCTTATACTTTAATTGAAATTGAATTTACACAAAGTAATATAACTTTGCTAACTTTACTTCCCTCAGTATTTCCTTGTAACATCATATACAGACAGTTATAGCACGCTTATTGTTACGTCACAAATGAATCTAAACATGCCTGCCGTACAATTCTACACAGGCGCAGTGACAATAGTCAGATTGGTTGAGCCAAATCAAATCATAAATTCACACGTTAATTCGCATATTTACATCAAATAGGTATAGTAAATACGCATAAAGGATTAGAAGTAATATATTTTAAAACGTAATAGGTAATATATCGCAAAAAGAAAATATACACTCACACGTGTAA